AATCTCAGCCCGGAGTTATTAGCAGTCCTCCGGTAACCTGAATGATTGTTGAGAGCATCACTCTCAATCCACTCATCAAAATTGATACTTACTGACCATGAAATCACAGGTTGACAATGAGCCAGAAGACTGTTTTATTAATTTCTTACTGAAATGAGGAGCATGGTGGTCAACTGCGGAGCTTCAGGTACTACACAAGTTTAAGATGCACTGTCACAGCACATGCAAGAGTACTACCAAACCTTTTGGTCTTTGCAGTTCATAGCAAATTGACTAGTGGCTTTACTTACAGTATCCCTGTAGCAACAGAAGGATTAAGGATTCTGCACAGAGGTATTTCAAGAGAAGAAGTCTCTTCATTTTCTCCAAAAATCTGGTTTACCTTACTAACCAAAGTGCAGTCAACCATCTCCTAGGCTTTTTTAAATCTCCTTACACCTAAACATCATGTCAGCAGAGGGCAGAAGTATGGGGGAGAAAGGGAAGAAGACAAAAGAACACTTTCTAACCATTCTTTGGAGCACAAAACCCTGCAGTGTACTGCACTACCACCTCAAAACATTGGAGTTACAGACACAGTGACATACCATAGATTCAACTGTGACTCAATAGTTGGAGCTTTGCCATCCTTTACGGCATGTGTCATGGCAAACTTATCAGAAAATATAATGACATCAGGAAAAGAAATTCAGCCCCTTTCCTGACACCATGCTTCAAGGTCATAACATATGCCCCTGCTTATGATGTCATCTGACCCCCACGATGCATTCTGTTTTATAATACAGTCTACACTCAATCAATAGTCAGTATACTGCAATGAAGAAAGTTGCCTGGTAAAAGGTGCATATGCAACTAGTTGTAAAAAATTTAAATGAATGATTACATTTCAGCAACTTCTTTCATCTAACATAGCTCTCTATAATATTGTAGAATCATAGAATCCCTATAATGTGGAAGCAGGCCATTTGGCCCATCAAATCCACACCGACCCTCCAAAGAGCATCCCACCCAGACCCACCCCTCTACCCTATCTTGGTAACCCAATGGCAAGGGCAATCCACCTGATCTGGTCATCTTTGGACTATGGTAGGAAACCAGAGCACCCAGAGGAAACCCATGCAGACACAGGGATTGCACATTCTCCTGAGCATGGAATCGAACCTGGGTCCCTGGCGCTGAGAGGCAGCCATGCTAACTACTGAGCATTTAGCTAAATAGTGCTTTTATCTTTTAATGCATACAACAATGCAGAAACAGAAATTACAAACATTATACACACCTATGGACGTATATACGCTATTGGCATCCTTCTATCATGAGAAGGAGGCATACATATTTACATACATGAACAGGACAACTAAAATTCAGAGAGCCAGGCAGTGAAAGACAGAACATCACAGTCTGGGCTTGATAAATTGACAAGCTCTTATTGACTGAACAACGAATATTGTGCACGTTCAAGCAAATCCCTCTTTCAGCCTGTACTTACATATTTTCTAAGCAAACTAGTTGATCTATTTATTTATTTATTGACAGGTGTACCGAAATACAGTGAAAAGCTTTGTTTACAAGCAGTACAGGCAGATCATAGTAAGCAAAAGTATGTACAGATCAAAATTATTATACACCATTGAGCAGGCAGGACTTGAAACTGGGTGTCCTGGCCCAGAGGTCGGGCCATCACCACTGCACCACAAGGGCACACTGTGTTTCTAAAACTGCACAGGCTGGTTCACCACTCGAATACAATTACATTCCACATAAGACATACATACACACATGGGAAAGACATTCAAACGAACAGAATTTTGCTAATAAATTCTCATTTACCAACTTTGATGTGTGAAATTCTAGCTGGTGACTAGCAGGATCCTTTTGTTCAGCTAAACACACAATGCCAGCAAAGTCAGTTTACATATGCACATAAACAGACTTCCAAAGATATATGAAAATGCAAATGAGAGCTGCCAAACTCCTGTAACTGAATCTACGTTTACACTATTTGATGAGTCATTTCAGTCATTAACAAAACCAGCAAGAAGAAAACCAAAATAGCTCAGGATTTTTTTTGTTGCCATCTTAGTTCTTCTTAATTGGAGAATTTAATGTTGGAACTTCCCAAGAAAAGTTGCATAATTCACAGAAAAACACAGAACATTGAGTTGTGCCCATAATCTCTGCAGTAAACCACCCCCCCCCCCCCCCCCCTCAACAGGCATCTGGGACTTAAAGCGCACAATTTATTTTTAAGGGAATGATTGCAAGATGGATCGTTGACAAATTGTTGAAATTTGCTGTTCGTGAATGTCACTTTCAACCCTGTCCTGAAACTAAGAAGAAGCCAATCATTCAGCAGGGTTCAAACTTGGGTTAATGTCAATGTAAATTTTCCTTCCTCTAAAATATCCAAAGAATTAAAACAGGAACTTTCAAACTGTATCTGAGGAAGAACAATGTAACTATATATAATTATATATAATCAAGTGTTTATGTATTATACACAAAATTAAAAACAAAAATTGGTGACTCCAACTTATAAATGAACAATTTCTTCCCCTGCAGGACATAGGTCATTTTTCTTCATAATTGCCTCCCTCAAATAATCACATAGCTGTTAAGTTTACCTATAAATATCAGACTGAGTAAATGTGGAAGTTAAAAGTGCTTCTGTTGAAACAGTATCAACTAAATCAGCAGAAAATAAACCCAAGGGGCAATTTTTCCACACTGGTGGTGGTTTGTATGTGGAATGAACTGTCTGAGGAAGTGGTAGCTGCAAGTCCAGTTGCAACATTTAAAAGACATTTAGACAGGTACATGAATAGGAAAGGTTTAGAGGGATATGGGCAAAACGCAGGCAAATAGGACTATTTTAGTTTGGGAAACACGGACAAGTTGGACCAAAGGGCCTGTTTTCATGCTGTATGACTCTGATACCTCATCAGAGAACTCAGTCAAGTTAGTGAGACATGATTTCGCACGAACAAAGCCACATTGACTGTCCGTAATCACTCCCTGTCTTTTCAAATGATCTGGAAATACTGTTCAAATTTTGACGAAAGGGCAGTTGTACGGGAGCATCATATCCTGCATAACCCATCAAAGCCACATACCATTCTGATTCGGAACCACATCATAATTCCTTTACTGTCACTGGGTCAAAGGCCAAAATCTCGCTTCCTAACAGCACGGTGGGTGTACCTACATCAAGTAGACGACTCACTACAACCTTATCAAGGGTTACTCAGAATGGGCAATTGGTGCTGGCGTGACTAGCAATACGAGTCAACCACACTGATGTGGGTCTGGAGTCATTTATAGGCAAGACCGGTTAAGGATGGAAGATTTCTTTCCTTAAAAGGATATTAGTGAACCAGATGGGTTTTTCATGACTATCAGCAATGGTTTCATAGTCATCACTAGACTTTTTCCTCCAGATTCAAATTTCATCATCTGCCATGCCTAGGTCCCCAAAAATTACCTGGGTCTCTGGAGTAATAGTCTAGTGATAATACCACTAGGTCATTGCCTGTACTAAGTAAATCTGCTATATTTTCAATGTTAACAGATGCCAGGATCCTATTCTGAATCTGAACATTTGCCAAATATTAATCTGTTCTTAAGTCAAAGCCTGTGTATCTACTGTCATGATTGAAAGCTGCCCCTTAGTTTTTGAGATATATTGTTAACAGGCCAACAAATATATACATTCCCTCCACCCATTTTCAGTATTGAAAATGTGAGATTTTATGAAGACTACAGATAAAAGTAGGATCTGAAATGCAAAAGAAAATAAAGCCATCTTTAGAAAAGTGTAAAAAATAAAACAAAATGGTTAAAAAGCATGAAGAAGAAATCATTGAAGATTCAACAGGTATTTAGAGAATGGACAAAAAGTGAAAAGAAAGGGCTGTCTGGTTACTGAAGAAGAAAAACTCCAATTCAGGATAAAGGAGGTAGAAATATTAAACAAATAATTTGTAAATAAAACAAGGAATTGAGATTTGCAATGGGCTGGTTAATGATCTTTTCCTGTTGGACACTTT